AACCTCTCTGTGAATTGATCAAACCCTGTGAAATTAAAAATGACCCTGCAATCTTTCTTTTGTACAATTCACCATTCAGTTATATAAAATCCATCAACTGCTACTACGAGATACAAAAAATACTTGGATGAGGTCTCTACTCTGAAGGAGGTCACAGTCTAGTGGGAAGGGAAACAGATAAAGATTCTGATACTAGGTAAAGTATGGGAATGTGGAAGTGCTGTAAAGAGGAACTCACTGGCTAGTACCGAAGAAGGTTCCTAGACAATATATCAGTTGAACGGGGTCCTAAAAGAGAAATGAGAATCTGTCACTGTTAGAAGGGTCTTTGAACTGATCCAAATATTGAGAAGAGGCCAGAGGAAGATAAGAAATGAAAAATAAAAAACATAAACAGGGACAAAGTCCTTAGCAATTAATGGAATGAGTGGGTCATTTCAACTCAGCTATGATAATCTGATTAGACCAAAATTGCAATTACTCTAACTCAGTTATTAAAAAAAAAAATTAGAAAACTTTGACTCACCTTTTATTATTTTTATAACATCAATGTACTCTATATCCAAAGGATGAAATGAGAGAAGTTCATAGAATATTTTCAAACTAAAGGAAGTAACTCTAAGAGAAAGTCAATAAACCTTATCTTACTGATGATAAGGAAAGAGTAAATGGCACGCAATTTGGAAATAACGCCTAGAGGGACAGTTTGTGGAATACAGTTCAGTTGGGATTTTATTTTATGATCTAAAAGATTTATTTATTCTCAAGTAACTGAAGATAAAACCATAAACTTGTTTGAAAATGAGGAGATGGGCATGGGAAAACTATTCTTACCTGTACAGAAAAATAATAAAATGGTACTTCCTATGGCTAAAATAATAATTCCTAAATTCATCCAGTTATAAACACAATTTTAAACTTGACTGTCTGAGATAGATATTTTTATGTCTTCAGCTTCTGCAAAGTCACTGTCTCATTTGGTAGCCATTTATTGAACCCTTTTTATATGTAGACATGCTATTCGAAGCTGTGAAGGATATAAACATGAGTAAGGTATAGTCTCTGACCTCAGGGCTGATAAAAGATTTCTTTATCTTTGTAACATCTTCTGTTTCATCTTCCATATCTCCATTAAAACCAAAAATCTTTCAGTTCAGTTTCAATTACCTGTTCATACCATCGGTCATATGGCCTTTCACCTATGAGCCCTGCCATTACCCTCCGCTCCAACCCGAGCATTTCCCAACAGTTAAACTGTGTTCCAGCTTGCAAACCACTGACTCGGGAAGTATTATAGTTTGTTACTCCCTCTTTGCTTCGTACTTATGGAAGAAAGTCACAGGAGCAGCTTAGTTGTAGGAGTTTGGACAGTCATAAAAATTCCACCAGTCCAGGTGTGAACTATGTTTAGAAACAAGGCAGTGGGTGTGGAAGAGACACAGAACGCATGAGGCAGCAGCCTAGGAGATTGGAGAGGCCACACCTTTGTCCTGGGCTCCCTAGGTCTCTCCAGAACAACCGCCCATTTGCTGAGTAACTCTGAGCATGCTAGAGGAAACGCATCTGAAGTTTGAATGAGGAGAGAGACTCCAAAAACAAAAGCATCCTATTACCTTTGATAAAGCAGACTTGCCTAAAAGGACAGCTCTCTTGTTGAATTGTGCCTTTTCTCTTGTTTTCCCACTGATGTTTATGATGATATAGGCCCATTCCACACATGCATGCACAGTGCTGTGATTTAGGGATAAATTCTTAGTCCTTTTTTTTTTTTCCTTTTTGTTTTACAAAGGCATCTAATTGTATCTAAAGTAAAGAAAGAGTATAAGAGAGCCGGGCGCGGTGGCTCACGCCTGTAATCCTAGCTCTCTGGGAGGCTGAGGCGGGCGGATTGCTCGAGGTCGGGAGTTCGAAACCAGCCTGAGCAAGAGCGAGACCCCGTCTCTATTATAAATACAAATAAATTAATTGGCCAACTAATATATATAGAAAAAATTAGCCGGGCATGGTGGCGCATGCCTGTAGTCCCAGCTACTTGGGGAGGCTGAGGCAGGAGGATCGCTTGAGCCCAGGAGTTTGAGGTTGCTGTGAGCGAGGCTGACGCCATGGCACTCACTCTAGCCTGGACAACAAAGCGAGACTCTGTCTCAAAAAAAAAAGAAAGAGTATAAGAGAACTTTTCATGGAATATACTTACCTATGTAATAATTGATATTTCTCAAAATCATGACTAAAAGGACTCAGCTGTTCTTAATTATCTGTCAGTGAAATTAGACTTTTCTTCAGAGAAATAGTAACCTTTCTTCAGAGATAGTTACGACAGCATACATATTTATACTTCTATTATTTTTGTCTTATTTAGAGACAGCATCTCACCCTATCACCCAGGCTAGAGTATAATGAAATGATCATAGTTCACTGCAGCCTTGAACTCCTGGGCTCAAGGGGTCCTCCTGCCTCAGCCTCCAGAGTAATTAGGACTACAGCCACACATGACCACACCGGGCTAATTTTTTTATGTTTTTGTAGAGATGGGTCTTGCTATGTTACTCAGGCTGGCCTCAAACTTCTGGCCTCAAGGAATCTTCTCGCCTTGGTCTCCCAGTGCTGGGATTACAGGCATGAGCCTCTGTGCATGGCTCATATTCATAAATTTAAAATCACAGTTGTATTGGTTCAGTTTAGTCTTTGTGCCTTATACACTTTATCTAATGAGTCAATAAGACCTAGAACCAGAGACCAGAAATCAAAATGCCCTGCTTAATAAATGTAAGGCTGTTACAGTAACTTCTGTGAGTATAGTGGGGTGCCATATTTGATGGTGACCTTCATCCTCCGTGCATGCTTAATAACACAGCAGAATTCAGATTCGATCTCACTTGACAGCCATGAGAAGGCCACAGTGTGGAGATGGGCATTGTTTGTGAAGTTAGGACCACATCACTATGGTGATATCACACTAGATTTGTTCATTACATTAAACACATATAGTTAAAAGAGCAGGTTCTACCAGGAAGTATACATTAATGTAAGGCTCCTTAAAAAACTGTCATATGCCCACAATTTGTACGTGAACTAACAATATAAATGAGATACAGATTCTGGGACACTAATCACATTTTCAGAGGAGCTCACAGAATCACTGATGTTTAGCCATTTCATCATTTTCTAGTATATTATATTCTAGACCAGTGCTTTCAATTACATTTCCAGATAATAAAATTGAGTTTTATGCCAGAAAATAGTACAAATCACTCCTGAACTCAAATAGACCATACCATTTACAAAAACTCAAATATATTTTATTCCAGAAACATGGGAGGCTCATAGTCCTGCAACATTTAAAAACACTTCAATAGAAATAGAAACGGTGGTACTCAAGAATGTTCAAATTCAGAAAATAAAATGCAAAGGTACTCAAAATTTCACTCATGGGTTAAAGTAGCATCCTAAAAAAAGATTAAAACCAAAAAAAATCAGACCTTGGATAATTTGATTCTCAGCAAAATCTGTGAGTTTTTACACATAGTTATACTAAAACTTGTAACAATGGAAGAAATGTCTATAACTGTAACTTGAACACTGAAAGAAGAGGAGCATTCTCAATGCTTATCCCTAACTAACGTCCACAAATATGTGTGAAAAATAAATTGCCAACTCTATGCCAAAATCTTTAACGGAGATAGGAGATTTATCCCTGTTTAAATGAGATTTATCCATGCTTAAATAGCATGAATATGTTAAAGTACCAAATGTGTCATTTGGCTTCCAGGTTCCAAATGACCACTAAATGCTTCCATATTGCTCTTTCAAAAATAATAGAATTACCTTTCTTCTCGTATTTACCATTGTTTAGGTCCTTTGCCATCTTTCATCATCTCTAAAGTATAATACCACTGACACTGTGCCAAAGAAACAATGAAGTAAGAGTGAGTAGAATAATATAAAATATTTTGATTTGGTGATATTCCAAAGCACTTGGTTTCTTATTCCATGTGTCTCTTAAAATACACCTTTACAAATAAGTACTTCAAAATCTAGAGATTGTGAGGAACATCTTTTTCCTGTGACAGGTAGAAAACTAGATGGCTATGACCATTTTAAGAAGAGCCAATATAAGAACCCCTGAAAAATGAAGACAGTTAGTTAGGGATTAACCACTTGTGTATCTTAAGTGTATTCTCTCCCTTAACCATCGAAACATAATTTGAGGATGTGTGAATTCAAAGAGGTATAGAATAAACTGAAAGTAAATGGTTGGCTGCCACTGATAATTAGAGATCCCCTAAAAATTTAACAGAAAGATTACTGAAATTAGAGAACAAGATAATGGGAAAACATACTGAATTTGCAGAAATCTGTTTTACATATAGATTTTTCACAAACACATCTACTGGATACCTGTACAGTTAATATAACAACATTTTCTAATCTCCCAAAATAATATTTGTTATGCACTACGAAAGCATTCCAAGGAACTGTAGGGGGTGTGTTTTAGGTGTCTGGAGCTTTTGAAGAGAGGGAGAAAAGGCAAGTGTTTATTCACGGACACTGATCCGTGTATTTGCACTTACCTCATAAACACTGACCAATCCTAACGAGAACGTGTCAGCTCCAAGTCTGAAGCCATCATTCCAGGTCTCAGGAGGAGCTTTTGTCCAAGTAAGGAGCGAGATTGGCCCTTAACAACTAGGATTCAATAAGTGTCATTTTCTACATATTAAAATTAGAGGATGATTCTAAAACTATTCCAGGAGGGGAGAAAGGCTTGAGCTTTAAAAATTGAAGTTGGCTGCATCAAAAATATGTTGACAGTGCTAAAAAGCTCATTCCCCACCCCTTGATATTTTTTTTCTTTCTTGCCCCCACCCCATTATTTACTTTATGTATGTATTTCTTTTTGGTAGGCTTGCTATTCTCATTTTGTTGCAAGGCTGCATTTTAATTCATCTGATTCTGCAGTTTAAGAGAACCCTGTGACACCTGTGTTCATTTGTTCCCAGCTGGTGAATGAGCAGCAAGAAAGCAGACCCCTCCTGAGTCCCTCCATCGACGACTTTCTCTGTGAAACCAAATCGGAGGCAATAGCAAGGCCTGTAACCTCCAATACAGCCGGTAATTCTGTCACTTTTAACTGTTCCTCAAATAAAGTTAATTTTAGCTATAAGAAAATGTATATTTTTCCATAATGTATTTTAAATGGGGAATAATATTTGCGACCAAGTGAAACTTTAGAACATATACTATTCAGCATAAACTAATAAATCACTTTATGTTGTCTGAGAAACCGCAATGTATATTACCCATTTTGTTGAATATAAGTGTACCACTATTAGCAATGAATCATTTTTCCATGTATATTTCTACACTTATATATTCACATTTCAAGTCACATCACATTAGGAAATCTTAAAAACAAAAGCATCAATTTCAGAGTAAGATTTTTCAAGTTCTGGTTGGTGGCCTAATCATTGCTGGAAATATTTTGTATTTTTGTCCTATAAAAGTCCAGTAAAATAAAAACGTGGCGTATTTTCAAGTGGATTTAAATGACAATTAAAATGTCCTACAGCCTTAGGATATTATAGGGCCAGTTTCATTTTCTGTCACTGCTCTCTCTTACAACAATTTATGTGAACATGCTTCTGGAATTAAACATTCTCAAATAGTAAGCCAGCATTTGCTCAGTGCCTGACACATACTGGAATAGACATCAATAAGTATTAATCCAATGAGCGAGTGCAGGAACCACTGACATAAATTACCTTGCCTAGCAGAGGCAGACTTTCTGCATTGATTTCATTTGGTCAACATTCACATTGAAAGGCATGTCGTTCAAATAAGAATGAAAAAATGATGTTCAGAATCAAAGAACAAAGGTTATGTTGGAAGTGCAGAGCGGAATTTAATGGGGAAAAAAAAGGTTAATCACATGCTGTCTTGTCAAATTCGTTTCATCTTGCCATTGTGGCCTCAGCTTGCTATTGGCTTGCATATTTTCACCATACTTCTAAGTGAAGAAAATCGCAGAAGAAAACTGTGATTTGTTTTCAAAATGCTAAAAATTACAAGAGTTAACTAACATGAAACAGAGGCTCCTTATGGGGGTGTATAGTCTACAGTGGCTGGGGTCAAACTCCATGAGTTCAAACCCCAGCTCTATATCGGTGGGCAAGTTTCTTAACTAAGACTCGGTGTCTTCATCTGTCTAACACAAAGATCTGTATCTCACAAGTCACTTGGGAAGATTAAATGAAGCAATCTGTGAAAGTGCTTAACACAATGTAAACTCTAACTGGTGTGACCATTTCTGTTAAATGTCAGATAAGAATAGTAAGTATTCCCAATACTTTTGTTTTCAGTTGCATTAGATTTTCTTACATCACACCAAAGCAATCATTTTCTAAATTCAACTATCACTTTGAGTAATCAAGAAAATAAAATGGTACTTGGTACATTCTAGGCAGGACATTAAATAAGCTCAGATAATATCCGATCAGATTCATCCTCCTGGTCTATGAAACTGGAGCTCACCCTTCCAAAACTGGGAAGCTACCGTAGAAAAACACAGAGAGCCTTGTGTCACTAATTGCAGGCAAATCCATGAGAATTGTAATGAGTTCTTTTTCACTCTCCATTTCTCACTGATGGGAAAACTAAGCCATTTAGGAAAGACCCACCCTGAGAGAGCAACACCTTGAGATTTGACTCAAAAGCTACTTTTCAACTTGAGTTTTCTAACATTTTATGTAGAGAGAGACTTGTGAAATATTGGAAGAAAAAAATCAAAATAATGTGTAATTTCTTGCAATTCCAATACCTACAACATTGCCCTCTGTATTAGTCCTAGGGCTGCTGTGACAAAGTATCACAAATTGAGTGGATTAAACAGCATACTATATTATCTTATAGTTCTGGAGGCTAGAAGGCCAAAATCAAGGTGTCAGCAAGGCTATCTGTGTTTCTTCTGATCATAGTGCTTCCAGAGGACCTGTTCCAGGCCCCTCTTCCTCTCCTAATTTCTGGTAGTTCCTTGGTTTTTAACAGCATAACTCTAATCTTCTCACAAGATTTTCTCTCAGTGTGTGTCTTCCTGTTTGCATGTCTGTCTCTGTATCCACATTTCTCCTGTTTTTAGGGACACCACCCATGTATGAGTAGGGGCCCACCCTACTCTTTAATTATACAACCTCAACTTTAATTATATCTCCAATGACTCTGTTTCCAAGAAAGGTCACATTCAGTGGTGCTGGGTGTTGGAACTTAACAAAAACATTTTGACAGTCACAGTTCTGTCCATAACACTCTCCAAAATAGGGGATCAGGGAAAAACAGTATTCTGAGACTGCAGACTTTTTTCCTCGACCTCAGTGTTCAGTGCATCTGGTTCACACTGACTTTCATCCTGAAGGAAGACTCCTTTTTGATAATGTGTTTTTAAATCTTAAAAGTATATTTCAAGGCAGAAACATTATATTTTTTTTAATTCCCAAGGAATAGTTTTCTTATATAAATCAATACAAAGTAAACCATATAGTAAATATTTATGTTTTCCAAATAGCAGTCAAATGATGGGGTTTTCTCTCTACAAACCCTAAAGGAACATATCTTTTGCCTCATAGAAGTTCTAAATTATAGTTTTTTCTTCAGTATTTTAACTGTCTTATTTTAGTTTCTGCTTGATTCTACATTAGGTTAACTTTTTATTATACAATGATGATAATAACTTCAAGCTGATAAAATAAGGAACTTTTTCATTTTTTTCCATTAATATCCTTAAATTCTCTTTAATTCACCTGCAATCCAGGTAAACAGCTAATCCCTTGGCCCTCTCAAACTGAATCCCTAGATGATAGGTAAGCTGAAATAATTGCTAATATGACAAATAAATACATACACAAAGATTCATATAGCAAATGCTCTAAAAGGAACTAGACAATAGATATTTTTAAGATAGTGACTAAAGTATAGCACAAGTAATACTATAAATTTTACAACAACAACTTATTGCTCTGAAATCTCCCAACAAATCTAATATATGTCAAAGTACAGAACAAACTCTTTTCTAAAAATCAAGAAAAATAGGACATCATTATTTATATTTATTGAGCTATACAATCTAAAAGCATTTTATCCATAAACTTGAGCCATTGGGTGAACAGTTACTATAAAAGAAGCATTTTTCATGGTTTAAAAAATTTCATCTCACTCCTTCATATGGGACCTGTATAATTATTAATATATGTAAGGGCCTATATTTCCTACACGTAAGGAAAGAGCTACCCTTAACAAAAGTTCATAATCTGCCATAGCTGTCTGGTAAAATATTCTAACTGCAAAATTACTGTAACATTTACAAACTACATTTTTATGAAGTTCAAGTGGCCATGAATCTAATGGTATTCCTCTTGAGAGTGCTTCAAAATTTGGTAAGTATGGTAGTTTTAATTACATATTCCAATATCTAAGAAAAAGTTGATTGAATTAGTTAAGTCTAGTTTATCTGTTTGACTTCAATGGAAAAATCATGCCTAACCCCATTATATTAGACAACTTCAGCTACATGTTTATAGCTGGGGTAGCTCACATGACAGAACAGAGATCTCATCAGCTCCTTTAGGCAAATTCGTTGGCCGTACCAGTCAGCGTTGCCCCATGGTTTGTCCTCTCTGGCTACTTCATATAGTGAAATTCATTAAAATCTGAGCCTCATTACACTGTGGTGCTGCTAACAGCATTGTGCTTACCACCAAAGTATCAAAACAGGACTTCCTGATTGGTCCTTTTTATTCTGACTACTCTAAGCAGACTGACCTCCCAAGGCCCAACACAGGAAGTGCCCAGGACACTTTGGAGGAGGAAGGACATTACTGAGCCTAGTCTGAATTTGCAATTCACTCTTTTAGCATTTTATTTATTCTGAATGGTGAGAAGCAGATATAGAATTAAATTAGTACTCACCAGTTATTATTCTGTAACAAATGTACTTCCTATATACAAGTAGATGATTCCTATATAATTTGCTTCTAAAAGCAGTGTAGGAGCAAGTGACTAATTCTTAATTGTTTGCACAATTAGTAAGAAGACATATATGGCATTCCATAGACTGTCATCAACTTTCTTCCTCCTATTATAAGGAAATCACATTGGGCCTAGATTCTATGCCAACATAACAGTGGTCTGGAAATTTCTATTTAAACATTCAATGAATATGAAGTGTGCGGCATTCTAGCCTATCTTGGCTGCCTGCCATGCTTAAATTTTAGACATTAAGCCAGGCGGCTTAGTTCTGAAAGATACTTCTTTTCCTCCACATTCAACACTGCCTAGTCACAAAATACTCCTCATAGCTCAGGGCATCTTAGCATTGAAAAGTTGTTTCCATCTCCTCAGGGAAACTCAGTTGAGATAAAATGACACTTCCAGGCCATTTTATGATAAATCTACTTCATAGGATCCTCTGTAGAACCAATATCTTTGTCTCACCCTCAGCTTTATCCCCAGTAGCATTTCCTCTTTCTGCCAGTGCATAAATCTGATTCTTGCTTCCAATAGAAAGAAACAGGGAAAATAGGAGGGATCAACTAAAAGAAAAGGAAAGGAAAACATCTCAAATTGGCCACCAAAGAATGCAAATAACATTTATTGAGTATCTATCATATGCTTGGCACTTTACACACATGAGATCATTTATCTTCATCTTATACCTAAAGGATGGATATTAATTCCCCATTTTTCTGATGAGGAAACTAAAATTAAGAGAGATCAAGAAACAAATTCCACAGCTAAGCAATGATAGAGCCAGATCTTTCCATTTCTCCAGCAGCATCCAAGCACTGTAATTTGGGATTGGAATCAGCAAACAAGATTATTAACAGTAAAGCTTGATGCACCATCCTCTAGATCCCATAGGAATGGTTAGCTCATGAAGATGGTGCGATACTAAGGAAATCATGATGGTACCTTCAATTGAGCTGTGACCCTGCCTTGAAGTGCAAGGCAAAAGCAGATAGGAGAGTATCAAAACATCAACAAAAATTCCTTCCCCACCTGGAGGGAAAGCTGGGAGATTAAAGAAGAGATATGGTACAGTCGTTGTTATAGACTGTGCCATGGAGGGTTAAAACAAGGAGTTTCTCTGTCCTGCAGTAGCTTTCCTAAGCCAGCTTGGTGAAGAGATCCTAGGCCAGGAAGCCACCAAGGCTGCTCAGAAGCCAGGGTCCCTGGGTCCTCAACAATGAAGTAGCAGAGGCTGGTGGAGAGGTGGGCAGGAGGGATTTTCCCTAATTTGAATTTTCATTTCTCACAGTGAACTCTTCAAACACTGGTTACTTGCACTGTAAAAGAAAGGAGAATTGAAGGTTATAAAACTTGCTTTTTAAATTCCCATTTGCCTAGTTTGCATTTGAACAAATTGTTATTTCTGCCTTCATTAGAGTATTTAATACAACCTACTAGGAAGTAAAAGTGTAACAGTTTTATAGTTTGTTACATTGAAATTTAAATTTGCATATTAAACAGCAAAGGCATTAACATGTGTACCTATTCATAAACTATGAATTATAAAATACCTCTCTAATGTGAGCCCAAACAGCATGCCATTTTCTGATTGAACTGCTTAATTAAATAAAAGATGATTAACAGCATTCCTTTATACTCCATACACTTTGTTGTTTAAAATTAAAATACAAAGACATTCAAAAACTGCACTAAATCTGAATATGATTGACCCTTCTCTGGAAAAGCTACAATCTAAAATAAACCTTTAGTATAAATAAAGCAAAACAATAAAGTAAATAGCACCTCAACTCAGATTCAGTTTTATCATTTTAATTTTATTCAAAACTGCTGCTTTATTCATCACTGCTGAAGCTGTTCTAAGTCCTGTCTTACTTAATGGTCCTATGCTTAATATAGGAGAACATGCAACAAACTTCCCAGTCTAACAAAAACTGCCTTTGCAAATCAATAGTAACCTAACTTAATTTAGTGCTTCTAATCTATCCTACAAACATGAAATCCTTCTGTACCCAACTAAAACCTATTTGTAAGAAATAATTTCAGAGCAATAAATCGTTTTATCTTAACCTCTTCCATTTCTGATAGTGTTGACCACTGGCTTAGATCTCCTCGACCTGAGTGAACCAGTCTCTCAAACCCAAACCAAAGGTAAGAAGTCAGAGCCCTCATCAAAAACTTCATCCCTCAAGAAAAAGGCCAATGGATCTGACCTCATCAGCACGGATGCTGAGCAGAGAGCCCAGCCTCTCAGAGGCCCGGAGACTTCATCCTTAGATTTAGGTAAGAAAATAAGTAGCTTGTGACGGCTGCTGCTCAACCTGTCCTGCTGGTGTTGATACAAGTTCCACAAGTGACATTAAAACAGTAAACAAAGGAGTAGAAAAGGTGAATCCCATGTAAGAAACTGGGCAGAACATAACTTCTTTTGTGCTAGAATTAAATAGTTGCTGAGGAGCTCAACTTTGCATACATGGTATTGATTCATTTGTTTATTTAATCCACCCACATGTATTGAGTTCTCCATAGCTGCCAGGCACCTGCCTAAGCACCTAAATTACAAATAAGAACAAAATGTGAATCTTGCTCTCTAAGAGCACTCAGTCTAAAGTGGGAGAGAGAAACACATGGGTGAACAATTCTAACATAAGGCTCAGGGACCACCAGATGAAATGGTAGCATGTAAGAGACATGTTTGGGGACACATCCAATACAGTAATAACAGGTACTGTTTTTTGGTTGGTGGTTTACAATGTCCAGGGACTGTGCTACATGATTTACATATGTTATCTTATTAAATCATCACAACCCTTTGAAATACATGAGGAACCAGGTTTTAAAATTTAAATAGCTTGCACAAGATCTCAGTTTGTAAGAAGGGCTGGAATTTGAGCCTAGCTCTAGTTAACTTCGAAGCCCATACGTTTATTTCCTATACTCCACATCCTCTGAGAAAGAACAGCTTAATCCTGAGCTCCTGGAACCAGACAAATGAAGCTCTCCTTTCTCGGGAAAAATAATGGTGGCAGGCATTTCAGAAAGCCAAGGGGAACAGGTATCTTCCCTTGCTGTGACTGACTGGAGTGTGTGTGTATATATACATATATGTATGTGTGCAAAAAGCTGTGTGAGAGAAGGTGGAAGAAGAGAAGGAGTGAAGGAGGAAGTCAAGGTGGAAACTATTGAGTTCATTTTGAACCTGTTATATTGAGGAAACTGTGGGACTTCTCCATAGGTATGTGCCATAGACTGTCACATATACAAGTCTAGAACTGGGGAAAGAGGACTGAATGGGTATCTGGAAGTCAGAAGCCTCTGAATGGATATTACAACCATGTGTGTAGAGGAGATCATCAAGGGACAGATCTTAAAGGGAAGAAAACCAACCCACTGTTCAAACCACCTGCATACACAGGATTTCCTCTCCCCTGCCATATCCCTCTTTGAGGTCAGGAGGAAAATTTTATAGCTATCACTACTATTTCCTCACCGTCCATGTGTTCTAGGGTTATTCAATTATTAAGTGAATAAGTGAAATGTATACATTTGTATAAGAATATATTACTTAATATATTACAATATAATGCAATAAACATGTAAATGAACATCTATTTCTCTGCTTCTGAGAAATGTCCTATGAAGAAGTTGTAGAAATATTTAGTTTAAAAGCATTTTGAAGAACAGTGTTCTTCACAAGCAGCGTTATTCATACTAGTCAAAAGGTGGGAACAACCCAAATACCCATCATCAAATGAATGAATAAAGAAAATGTGGTATATACATACAATGAACTGTTATTCGGCTTTAAAAAGGAATAAATTACTGACACATACTACAAAATGGATGAACTTTGAAGATATTATTCTAAGTGAAATAAGCCAGACGCAAAAGAAAGAATGCAGGTTGAGCATCCCTAACTTGAAAATCTGAAATCTGAAATCTGAAATCTGGAATCGTCCAAAATCTGAAAATTTGGGGGCACTGACACACCACCATTGAGTGGAAAATTGCACACCTGACATGTAATGGGTCACAGTCAAAACTTTGTTTCATGCACAAAATTATTAAAAATATTGCATAAAATTACCATCACAGTATGTGTGTAGAGTATATGTGAAACAAGTAAATTTCATGTTGAGACTTGGGTAGCATCCCAAAAATATTTCATTTTACATATGCAAATATTCCAAAATCCAAAAATATCCAAAATAAGACATACTTCTGGTTCAAGCATTTTGAATCGGGAATATTCAACCTATATTGTATGATTCCACTTACATGAGGTACTTAGGGCAGTCAAATTCGCAGAGACAGAAAGTAGAAGTTACCAGGGTTTGGGGGGAAGGGGAAGGGGGAATTAGCGTTTAGTGGGTAGAGAGTTTCAGTTTGGGATAAACAGTAGTGGTGGCTGCACAACAATGTAAATGTGCTAATGCTACTGATTATACCCTTAAAAATCATTAAAATAGTAAATTTTGTTATTTGCTAATATATTTTGCCACAATTTTTAAAAAGAACAGGAAAAAAAAGACCTTCAGAACTGCAAAGCCATCTTTTTATAAATGAAAAAAAAAACCCATGATTGTTTAAGTGGTTTGTTCATAGTCACTCACCGGTTAATGACAGGGAGTCACACCAGGTTCTTTACCTGTAAGCCACAGGGAGAAAATGGTTCTAGCATTCTCTTGGCTATTTTCATCACCTTCTTTCTTTCTATCCTCATTATAAATTCCTTCTGTGCTGTGCTGAAAAATTAAGTGGTCTATACAAAAGCTATAAAAAAAAAGTTCTGGTTTCTTCCTACCGCCTTTTAACATCTAAGCTCATCTCTTTAAACAGAATTTCTTTCTGGAAACATGCTAAAAGTACCCCAAAGCCTTAGGTAGAGGGTGATAGGGTAGCACTTTGTATGCACATCCTACACCAGATCCCATGCTCACACAAAGGATTCAGAATGCACATAGCTTTTGAAATAAAGTCAGGTGAAACAACGCGATTGCTTTAACTATAAAAGCAATTCAATTTATTTGATAGGTCTAATTTTTATTTAGCTGCGCATTCTAATTTTTATGCAACATTAAAAAAGTAAAGGTTGATCTTGGAGCTTGAGAGTATCAGCTGAGTAAAGTTTACTTTGATAAGACTTCAATCTTAATCTCTCCTCTCCTCTCCTCTCCTCTTCTCTCCTCATCTCTTGCACTCCCCTTGTCTCCCTTGCCCCTTCCTTTCTCCCTAATAGACATTCAAACACAACTGGAAAAATGGGATGATGTTAAGTTTCATGGAGATAGCAAGGGGCACCCAATGGCAGACAGAAAATCATGCTCATCTAGAACTGGATCAAAAGAGCTCTTATGGTAAGATATTTTGATACCAGAAAGTAGCCCATTTGTGTGTCAGTTTTATAAGTGTTTCTCTCATGTACTGAAATAAGAAGTCAAGTCAAATCTCAATACATATAACCACGTATAACTCCCTATATAACAATGCTAATTATTGTGGCCTCTACAAACTCTAAATTATTTCATCTGAATCATCCAAAATTAAGTCAATTCGATCAATGGATTTGGGGAGGTCCACAATTCCACATTTGTTGATAATTTTCTGAACGTGTAACTGTGCTGATCAGTCAAAATAGGTGCATATACATATCCATGGATGTGAGTAGATTCAATACCTTATATAAATGGTAGTTAAATAAAATTCTTCTGGTTCTACATGTAATGTTTTCTGGCTTTGTCAATCATCCAACATCAGATAATGAAGTAATTAAGAATAATCCATGGATGCCTATGAGAACATCTGGCCACCTGAGTTTTACCATGTTTTCAAAGCTTCTTAAGGGGCAGCATCCTATTTTAGGTTCCTGGTGCCCTCCCACATCTCCACTTACCATGACACTTCAAATTCTATACAAAGATGGCCTGAGACACTTTGTGAGCAGCCCCCCCCCAAAAAAAGCCATAATAGTTTTTCATAAAACAGAATTTTCTGTGACAAAATGATGTTGCATTTATTTACTTTTTGCCTGCAATTGAACTGAACTCTGAATCAAACAAAGATAATAATACCTAGCACATTATAACCACTCAAATTCTGAAAGTAGTCATTATAATAAAAATATGTAAAACTTACCTTTTCCATCAAAATTTTGATGAGAGCTTTGTTATCATGGCTTCCAACAATTGAAATTAACTAGGTTTCTTGGCTGAATGTCTAGTTGAATGTGTTGCTTGATGTATATTAATCGCCTTGATGCATTCCTTTTAGGTCCTCAGAGCACAGATCTCAACCAGAACTGAGTGGTGGCAAAAGTGCCCTCAACTCTGAGTCGGCTTCAGAGCTAGAGCTAGTGACTCCAGCACAGGTAACAAAACCAATGCTTCAATTAACCCATCTTTTCTAATAGACAATATATAGCATAAATATTTTATTTAAATTTTCACAGAAAGTCCGAAGTACATTTCAGTACATTGTATTTCATGTGCTTTCTTACTCAGTAGCTATCTCGATGCTTAAAATAACTGACTATAGACAGACATATTTGGCTAGAAAACGTATTAATGAATTCACTGTGTACTTAGCATTTTTGCCGTGTTCTACATTTTGTATTCTATTATTTTGCAATGCAAAATCTGTTCTACTCCTGTATTAGCACTATTCATGTAACAGAGCACAAAGAAGAAGAAATTACATCTTCAGTGTTCATTCACATCTATGCCCTGTGGAGTAGATCAGTACCCTGACTGCCACATGAAAATAAATGTTATGCCGAGGAATATATTCTTATAGCATTAGCAGTAGTGATGATGATAATCATAAGAACTACCATATGTAAGTACCCACTAAATATTAGGGACTTTACTATGTGCTTTTTATGTGTTCTATATAAAATAAACAATCCCATGAATTGTTATTAGCCTCCCCTCACTTTAAAGATACTCTTGGGTCTCAGTGAAGTTAAACACATCTTCCCAGCCAAAGAAGGCCAAGGCCAGTCTCCATCTTTTTATTATCTTGAACACTTTTCAATGCATCAGCTTTGATCTAAGATCACAAAGATCTCTTAAGAAGTGTGTGTCCATGTTCATGTGTTCTACACTCCAGTTGAGATGAGACTAAGTGTTTAAGGAAAATAAGTGTGATAAAGTGAGCAAGAGAAATTTTCTTGAGTTTATTAGATAAAATGTTGAAACTAAGAGGGGCAATATATTATCTGGGGGTGAGATAAAATGATAATTAAGATAATAGCAAATATTATTGAGTGCCATGATAAGGACTTCTAATATATATTAGCTCATATGATTCTGTCAAATGGCTGAATGAAGTAAGTTCAATTATTACCCCCATTTGATAGACAGGGAAACTAAAGCACAGTGAGATGAAGAAACTTGTCTATAGACCCACAACTAGTAAATGGCAAAGGGAAGGAGGATGCAGGGAGGAAATGGAAGACCTCTGGGAACCTTTCTAAGGCACCAATAGCACCCCTACCAACACCCCTCCTCCACAAGAGAGGACATTACTGCTCCCAGAACACAGCTGGAAAACAAGTCCACTAACTTCCTGAACAAATGGTCCTTAATGAATTGTAAATGAAGCATGAAAATGTATTTTCTTCCTTTGTGCTCATTCTATAATAAATGTGCCTTTTTAAAAGAAAATTTATAGCATTTATTAGAAAAACATTTCTTGATAAGTGCATTAGAGAGCTAGACTCAGCTAAGGTAATTGTTACTGTCCCGTAACCTGGAATCCTGGAAACAATTTGATGTAGCAATAAAACATTTGTTCCTCAAGTGGGGTGAGGCTTGGCACAGGTGGGCTGTTCCACACTGAGCGGGGGTAGAGGATCAGCTGGGTGCCTGGTTGCCATAGAGACCCAGGATGCGTTTATCTCATTATTCCAATGACTGCAACTCTCCTGCTGGTTGTCATATTCCACCCGACCACACTGTCCTTCCACTTTACCCACCAGCATGCATTACTTTAAGAAAACACAATGTGCTTTGGAAAATTTGTCTGACATTCCCTATATTATCTTCCAAAACACAGTTTAAAATGCACTATTAGAGTTTTCTGTCTAGAAAAATCTCAGTGAATCCTTTTAGAAGGTTATAAATTGTTTATAAAGAATTTATGCCTTAATTTTGTATTTTTTAAAAAACATGTTATATTTATTTATCAAGACCTGCCTAAACTAAGGAAATTCATAATCTAGTTTTAATTCCAGCCTGTGATTAAATGAGTAAAATTTCATGAATTGGGGATTTAATACAACTGAAACACTAAGTCACTCAAACAAAGAATAGCCTGATTAATCTAGTGGTAATAAAAGACAAAAAGGTATCAAAACTGTTAGAAGCATATTACTCTTAAATGTACAAACTCTTCATGCAGATAAAGTAAAACCATGATGAAGGTGATATAAAAATTCAACTTAAAACTATCACTCAGATGGTTCACAGGAAAATCAAGGAAATATTTTCTTCTCTTTCAAACCAATATAAATTATCTGAGGCAGTGATTCAGTAGGTGAAGACCTATTTACAAGCAGTGTTTAAAAATTATATTTCAGAATCACAAAGAAACTGGAAGCTCACAATGTGAAGAATTCTTATGTTTTTTCATTTTCTTTTTAAGATGAGAAAAAGGAAAAACATAGTCTTATCTCTTTTAAATAGTGTTTTGAATACTATAGGGATGAAAAGAACTTTCTTTCTCCTCCCTGAATTTTCGAGAATTTGAGTTTACAAAACAAACTGACAGTAGACAGATTAAGAGGGGAAAAGGCAGACAAACTTATTAATATGCAAGTACATGGGGGCCACGCAAAGTATGAAACTCCAGAAAGGGCCAGATGGTTGACACGTAAATACCCTCTTCATAAGGGACCAGAAAGTGGGGATGTAGGCAATTTTAAGGGAAAAGTAAATGATTTTTAGGCGAGATGAATGGGCTGGAAGAACAGACTGGGACAAAGTTTGTCTGGGCCATGGGTGTGTGATCAGCTCTGGTTTTCCTTCCTTGCAGTTTAATCTTCTCTGTTTGATGAGATTATAGGAGTGGGCCCTAGACAGTGACATTCCTTCTGGAGGAACTTTCCTTAGAGTAGGGAACTTCAGAGGAAGCCTCTCCTTGTGCTTTGGGAGAGGGTGGAGGGGTAAGAAACAGGGAATAGGGTGAAGGTCAGAGAACCTTGGTTCTGAGATGGCTTCTTTATTAGTTCAAAGTACTCAGCATGTCAAAGAGCCAAGTTTTGAGTGTCATTTTTTTTCTGAGTCCCAACAATACGTTAATCAGTGTAGCAGATTATAATAAATTATACAATCTACCTATTTAAGAATGAGGTTTCTTGACACTTATACAAACTGTGTTAATTGGAGTTAATTATTTTTAAGTCATGTAATCTGAAAAATTAGACATTTGAAGAATTGAAGAAAAACACAGTAATGATGTAAAATTAGCTTTTTCCACAAATGGGTTGGTGAGAAAAAAAAAAAAGAATTCAGCTCCTGCAGGAAAATGATGACTCAAGCATTTCCTTTTCGAATTTGGACACTGGAAGGGAAGCTCCAAGACAGGCTCTTGCAAACCTCAGTCAGATTTCACCGGGATGTGCAGCGGCGAGTCTCCCCAAATGCTGAGTCACAATCATGCAACTCGCTGATTTTGCTGACTTTAGCATAGCACGTGCTTCCTTTCTCATAATCATAATTCCAAACCAGAACAATTTAAATTTTGACAGTATCCCAAATGAGAATAATTTAAATTTAAATGGCAGTATGTTTTCTAAATTTTTAATGACTCATGTAAAAGGAAATGCATGTTAGTAGCTGTCATTTATTACATGCCTACTTCATGTGTGTCATATGAGATTCTATTTTTGTATATTATTTGAAATGTTTACAATAAACTTTTATTATCCCCAATTTCACATATTAAAAAATGCATCTCAGAGAAAAGTAATTTTCCCAAGGTGGTGCAGCTAAGGAAGAGAGGAACGAGGATCCAAATCATGCCCATCAGCTTCTAACACCCTTGTTCTCAACCACAGACCATTCAGTATTGGCCGCATCATGCTTATCCACCTGAGACAACTCACAAACCGTCTATTTCCCTCCTCATTGCAAACCCTGATTACTACTTACTTTTATAGGGTTGATATGAGTTAAGTAAGTTTACTTAATTTGTGTTATTCCAGAATCTTTGTAAGACAAATTAGAATTGTCATCTGATTTGAGACCATATACAATTTTGTGCCTCCCCCTTCCAAATTTATTCTCAACCCTCTACTTTTAGAAATGCTAATGGTTTCCATTCCATTCCATTTCAATTCAACAAAGGTGATTGAACGTCTATTATGCATAAAGCCATAAGCGAGGCAGTAAAAAAGTTAGAAAGATGAGCAACATTATAAGAAGTATCAAAACCTTTGTGTCTAGCACAATTAGATATGGTATAAACATTAATAGTTTTGCTCGTTGGAAAACGGTCCAGGAGCCGCATCAACACCCCTTTCCTCCTCCAGGCCACACACAATGAGGAAATAAGGAAGCAAAAATGGAAGGAAGGAACAAAGAAAAGAAGGCAGGCAAGAGGCAAGAAATCTGAAAGATCACTTTCAGCGTAGCAGGAAAGCTGTTCATAGTAGGTTCTCAACAAATATTTGTTGAAGTGAAAAAATAAGGGGATCCCAACAAAAAGAGAAAACAACAGTTGTCAGATTTAACAATGTGGAAGTAGCAGCTGATGGTTGATTAAAAGGCAGAAAAAAATAGACAAAATTTTATCCTTGATTTTCTTTCTTTCTTTTTTTTTTTTTTTCGAGACAAGAGTCTCACTGGCTCACCCAGGCTAGAGTGCAGTGGCATCATTCCTAGCTCACAGCAACCTCAAACTCCTGGGCTCAAGTGATCCTCCTACCTCAGCCTACTGAGTAACTGGGACTACAGGTGTGTGCTACCATGCCTGGCTACTTTTTGTATTTTTTGTAGAAATGAGGTCTTGCTATTTGCTCCGTCTTCTCTCAAACTCCTGCCCCGAAGTGATCCTTCTGCTTCGGCCTCCCAAAGTGCTAGGATTGCAGATGTGAGCCACCACACCTGGCCCCTTGATCATTCTTAAAACTAGTTTCAATAATAATTTTTAGTTGTGCCTGACAATAGACTGTCCATCTCCTTTCAAAATCAGCTCTTACTTCCCTTGATGTTCTACAGCATAGAATTTCATAGCAGAATGGAGATAGGCCCGTATGCTGCAGCACCTTGCACAAAGCTCTGGGAGTTGGCTCTTGACACATAAGGTACAGCTGTTTTGTGTACTTTCAGTATAAATGTCTGATTAAGAAAAAAAAATCCTGAGCGT